ATCTATCTATCTATCTATCTATCTATCTATCTATCTATCTATCTATCACTTTCATTTCCTTCATGTTCCAGTGAAACAGCTTGCCTTCTCCAAAGCACCAGAAGGCAAGACAAGAAATAATGGATGGAAACTAATCAAGGAGGGAAGCAACCTAGAACTAAGAAGAAATTTCCTAACACTGAAGAAAATTTACCAGTGGAACAACTTGCCACCAGAAATTGTGGGTGCTTCATCACTGGAGGTTTGAAAGAAGAGACTGGACAGCCACTTGTCTGAAATGGTCTAGGGTCTCCTGCTCCAGCAGGGAACAAGAAGACCACCAAGGTCCCTTCCAGCTCTCTTCTATTCTGAGTCTTTTGTATTTTATTTTAATTAATGTGATTTCTGTATCCTGCATGCGAATGACTTAATAAAGATTTGAACTGAGAAGCAGAGAGATCAGGACGGATAGAAATCCAGATTTCCTGGGTGAATTTCCTCAGGCGTTTTGCCAGAGAGGGGAATTGGGGTCATGTTTTCACCTTAAATTCTCCCCCAACCACAGGATCATCATCTTGGACTTTTCCTCGGTACAGCTGAAAGGTCTGACAGAAATCCTGGAGACCGTGGAATTCGGGAACTTCTTCCAACTCACAGTTGTAGATCTGGGAGCAAATTATTTTAAAAAACGAACAAACAGTTGGAACGCTCTTTATTTTCTCTGTGTATGTTTGTGTGATCTTTATTCTCTAGTCTAAGTATCCTTATAGTATTGTAGATTATTAACTCTACAACATTGTAGATGTAGTACATCTATTTGTATTGTTACATCTTCAATATTGAAGATGTAATTATTGTAGATTATTCAACAATCAGTTGGAATATTTGTACTGTAGATTATTAAATCTACAACATTGTAGATGTAGTACATCTATTTGTACTGTTACGTCTTCAATATTGTAGATGTAATTATTGTAGATTATTAAACAATCAATTGGAATATTTGTATTGTAGATTATTAAATCTACAACATTGTAGATGTAGTACATCTATTTGTATTGTTACATCTTCAATATTGTAGATGTAATTATTGTAGATTATTCAACAATCAGTTGGAATATTTGTATTGTAGATTATTAAATCTACAACATTGTAGATGTAGTACAAATATTTGTATTGTTACGTCTTCAATATTGTAGATGTAATTATTGTAGATTATTAAACAATCCAGTTGGAATATTTGTATTGTAGATTATTAAATCTACAACATTGTAGATATAGTACATCTATTTGTATTGTTACATCTTCAATATTGTAGATGTAATTATTGTAGATTATTAAACAATCCAGTTGGAATATTGTATTGTAGATTATTAAATCTACAACATTGTAGATATAGTACATCTATTTGTATTGTTAATATTCAATATAATATAATAATGTCTTCAATATTATAGATGTAATTATTGTAGATTATTAAACAATCAGTTGGAATATTTGTATTGTAGATTATTAAATTTACAACATTGTAGATGTAGTACATCTATTTGTATTGTTACGTCTTCAATATTGTAGATGTAATTATTGTAGATTATTAAACAATCAGTTGGAATATTTGTACTGTAGATTATTAAATTTACAACATTGTAGATGTAGTACATCTATTTGTACTGTTACGTCTTCAATATTGCAGATGTAATTATTGTAGATTATTAAACAATCAGTTGGAATATTTGTATTACAATATTCAAATTCATTGGATATGGAGACCAGCACCAAGCTTCAGAGGAAAGTGGAGATCTTTTTGGTGGGAGTTTAATGAAGTGAAAAACAGTTGAGTCACCTACTGTCTCTGAGGGAAACTGGGAGCTGGTATTTCTGTGAAAATGGTTTGCCTGCCCCCTATTGTTATGATAGTTCTCTTAAAAGCACACCTTTATGCTATCATAACCCTTTTCCAGATAATGTCCGCTCTTTGATAAATCTCCCATTGTGGCATAGTACTTGCTCCACCAATCAATTTCTTCTTCTTCCTCCTCCTCCTCCTCCTCCTCATCGGTCTGTCAAAAAGGAAAGAAAGGAGCTTGGTCATGGCCCTCTCCATGTTTTCCCAAATGGAATGATCTGTACTTCATCTTTGGGCTGGCTTTCTTTCCAACCTAAGCAGGGGTGGGCTTCAAAAATTTTAGCAGGGGGTTCTCTGCCCAGTTGCCGGGTGGGCGTGGCCATGGTGGGCATGGCCTTTACCCTCCCCGGGCTCCGGAGGCTTTTTTCAAGCTTCTGGGAGGGCAAAAACAGCCTCCCCAGGCTCTGGAGGCCCTCTGGTGGCTGGAAACAGGCCTGTTTCTGGCCTTCCCGAAGTTCTGATAGGCCCATTTTTCACCCTCCCTAAGACTCCGCATGCACCCTGCACTTACCTGCATCCAAAACAGGCCGTGTGGGGTGTCCCGGGAGGGGATGGGTGGACGGGGTGAGGCGGGGCCAGCCTGGAGTGGGATTTGGCGGTTCTCCAAACTGCACAGAATCTTAGCTAGAGGTTCTCCCGAACCCTTGCGAACCCCCAGCAGCCCACCCCTGAACCTAAGTCAAAAAGACTTCCTTGCATTGACTGTCAGGGTTCCAAATAAAACACCCAACAGAATTAAAACCCTGAGGCAGGCACGCTCCTCAAAGTATAGATTTATTAGGCATGTCATATTGGCACATCTGGTGAAAAGCCGACTCTGAACCGACTCCTGTGGTTTTTCTCCATGTTAAAAGTAAAGTTTGTTCTTTGGACTCCCCCATGAGTCCATCACATGGTCCAATCAGATCATAGTCCAACTGTCATAGCTGGCTGAGGAATTCTAAGAGCTGAAGTCCATAAAGTTGTCAGGTTTTGAGCCCTGTCATGGAAAGCACTGTTCAGATAAGGGCTTCCTACCTCAAGTGCAATTTTAACATGGGGAAATACTTGACTTCCCCTCTTGATTTGGGGACATCACCCTTGGCCTTTCTCTCTCAGGTAGCAAAATAAGGAACCTTGGTAGTACAGTGGTCTAAAGCACCCTGTTATTAAGACCAGCTGCCTGCAATTATTGCAGGTTCAAATCTCGCCAGGCTCAAGGTTGACTCAGCCTTCCATCCTTTCTAAGGTAGGTGAAATGAGGACCCAGTTTGTGGGGGCAATAAGCTGACTTGGTATAAATATACAAAAAGGATGAAGGCTATTGCTTAGCACATTGTAAGCCGCCCTGAGTCTCCGGAGAAGAGCGGCATATAAATCAAAATTAAAACAAAAAAAAAATCTCCAAGAAAATGCTTGGGTAGGGGAAAAAAAAAACCCAGGCTCCATATTTGGGGAGCTCTGCAAATATGGAGGTATTTGTGTCACAAAAACCCAGCAATGTCAAAATGAAATCTTGACTTACTTTCTTTTCTTTTGTTTTCCTCCATGACCATAATTTAAAGCTGCTCAATTTCTGTTAAGAAGCAGTGGAATTAATCTTAATTATTTATTATTACATACTTTATTCATTAAACGTGAAACTCGGTCAACTGAGTTTTTATTTGATGATGGTGATGTTAATGATGATGATGAATTATTCTGTTAATCCAGTGGTGGGTTTCAAATTTTTTTACTACCGGTTCTGTGGGTGTGGCTTGGTGGGCGTGGCTTGGTGGGCGTGGCAGGGGAAAGATACTTTAAAATCTCCATTTCCTCCTGATCAGCTGGGACTCGGGAGGCAGAGAATAGACGGGGGCGGGGCCAGTCAGAATTTTTATCTCTCTCATCTCTCTCTCTCTCCAACTCCATCTCTCTATCTCTATCACCACTATCATCTCTATTATCTATTATCTATCTATCTATCTATCTATCTATCTATCTATCTATCTATCTATTCTATCTATCATCTCCTTCTCTAGCTATCTATCTATATCATTATCTATCTCTCTCATCTCTCTCTCTCTTCATCTCCATCTCCATCTCTGTCTCTCTCATCTCTCTTATCTCTCTCTCTCTCTCTCTATCTCTATTATCTCTATTATCTCTCTCTATTATCTATCTATCTATCTATCTATCATCTATCTATCTATCTATCTATCTATCTATCTATCTATCTATCTATCTATTATCTCTATTATCTTTCTCTCTCTCTCTGCTAAACAAGAGGTCCCATCACAAAGAAGAAAAGAAAGAAAATGATGATTGTTGTACCAAACAATAAGGATACTTACCATTTTCGTCTTCACCTTTTTAGTGACTGTTGGGAGGTGGGGAGAAACACATTGAGAAAATTCATAAACATTTGAGCAGGAACAGAATTCATCTTTTTTAGGAGATATAGTCCAATGAGTGATCTCTTTTTCTCCTTCAGAAAGTTCAGGAGGGCTTTTGTGAAACTTCCAGTACCTCAACTGGCTTCTCCTAACCTTAATTGTAGATAGACTGCAAGCCCCCCCCCCAAATTTGAGCTGACTGTGCCAATTCAACTTTAGGAGTTCATCTGAGTAATGATATCCAAATTTTAAAAAAATAGTTAGCATGGAAAGGATTAAGACTATGTCTATGCCCAGTCTGTTGCATACTTATGACTATTTCGTGCTATCCTATTATCCTAAATTATTTGATGAATAACTTATTGATAACTGACTTATTAAGACGTTTATCAAGTATACCTCGGGGCGGTAAATTGTGGACTTTGCTTTCTTCCAACGGATTGCAGTAATATTGACTCAGAGATCTGACTGTTGCTTGTCCCACTACTGGCTTATATCCAAAATCTCGGTGATCAATCACCTTCAGTTCAATGGGAGGGGAATAATCTTCGTCCACAGGCAGGTACTGCAGAAAGTCAAGGTGGAAAAAGGAAGCGAGAGCTGAGGTGGCGCAGTGGTTAGAGCGCAGTACTGCAGCTACTTCAGCTGACTGCTAGTTCAGCAGATCGGTGGATCAAATCTCACCGGCTCAAGGTTGACTCAGCCTTCCATCCTTCCGAGGTGGGTAAAATAAGGACCCAGATTTTGGGGGGCAATATGCTATTTAGTATACTGTCTTTGGTGTAAGCCGCCCAGCGTCCTCGGAGAGTGGGCGGCATAGAAATATGACTAATAAATAAATAAATAAATAAAACCTTTTCAAGAGAGTCAACGAAGGGGGCGATCCCTCTGAGATAACACAGTTCATAACTGAGTGGGAATGGGGATTTTGCAGAATCCTTCCCCTGGAGTGGGGAGGGAATGGGGATTTTGCAGTATCCTTCCCCTGCCACGCCCACCAAGCCATGCCGCCACGCCCACCAAGCCACATCCACAGAATCGGTAGTAAAAAAATTTGAAACCCACCACTGCAATGCTGCCTGCAACTGTGGTGTGAGCTGGTTGCCAAGTGCCTGGATTGCCATCACACGACCATGGAGTGCAGCGGCAATCAGAGTTTAGAGGACTAGTTGTAAATACCACTCGTTTGGTGCTGTCACAACTTCGGACGATCGCCGAAGAAGTGGCCGTTAACCAAGGACTGCCTGTATTCTGCCCTTCCCTCAGTTTCTTAAGCTTTGCTCATGTCACTCACCACTTTCATGAGATAGACGTTGATTGAAAAATTCGGGTATTCCTGGAAGTTCCTAATGGTTGTTGTCTGAATGGACTCCCCTCCACACTCTACGATGAGGCTGGGATTGTTCACAATCATCAGGTTGTAATTCTTCATGTCTCGAAGACCCCAGGCAAGAATCTATGGGGAGATTTAGAAACACATTTTTTTTAAAATTTTGTCGATTTGCTGAATGACTGAATTTTCCCTGTCTTGTTAAATACTGTATGTCTACAGTAGCTTTCATTGTTTCCCCACTTTCCATACTGATTTATTATACATATTTCTTGATTCCTTGATGCAAGATTAAGGCTTTATCTGGGTTCGAGGGCTAAATATATATATCTTATCAGCTTCCTGCAAAAATATATATATATATATATATATGTAGGTCTTTGGTTATTCGGGTCTTCTCCCACATAAAATTGGAAGTGTCTTGGCGACGTTTCGACGAAGTCTCATTCGTCATCTTCAGGCTGGTGTTCTCGGCTTCGTGCTTCCAGGAGTTTGCTTCTCTCTCTGTCTCTCTCTCTGTCTTTCTCCCCACTCTCTCTCTCTGTGTCTCTGTCTCTCTCTCTCTCTGTCTCTGTCTTTCTGCCTCCCTCTCTCTCTCTCTGTGTGTGTCTGTCTGTTTCGCTTTCTCTCTCTGTGTGTCTTTCTCTCTCTGTCTCTCTCTGTGTGTCTTTCTCTCTCTGTCTCTGTCTTTCTCCCTCTGTCTCTCTCTCTGTGTGTATGTGTGTGTGTGTGTGTGTCTCTCTGTGTCTCTTTCTCTCTGTCTCTCTCTCTGTCTCTCCCTCTGTCTTTCTCAGAGAGAGAGTCTTTCTCTCTCTCTCTGTCACTCTCTCTGTGTCTCTCTGTCTATCTGTCTGTCTCTCTGTATCTCTCTGTCTCTCTCTCTCTCTCTCTCTCTCAGACAGATAGACAGACAGACAGACAGAAAGCTACAAATTAATGGTTATAAGTAAGGGATGAAGGCTCTCATATCACTGGATTCCTCCGTTCTCCTGTGGAGAAATTTCTTGCCAACTAAGATGTCTGGAGCCCCCTGAACTGTTTCACAAGCTCACCTCCACAGCCATCAGCCGCAAAATGGGCCGGATTCCTTTGGGGATTGTATAAACGCCATCTTTCCAAGTAGGAGGAGGAAGTTTCCCCATGGATCCATCCTGGAAGAAGAAAAGGGAATCCTTCCTGAAGTTGAGCAGCATGGCTTTGAGATGAGAGAGCGTAGACACATGAACCATCCTCCTGAGATATTCACACGCATCAAGGTGCAAAGAATCGGGATGACTCGCAATTCCAGTTCAGATGATTTATTGTTCAAGCCTATATATATAAGAATCTAGTCAACTACCAGTTGGCACTAAATTGGTGCTTGATAAGGTTTAATGGAATTTAAGAGGGACTGGACTTGGAAACTACTCAAGGAGAGAAGCAACCTGGAGTTAAGGAGAAACATCCTAACAGTGAGAACAATTAACCAGTAGAGCACCTTCCTCCAGAAGTTGTGGGTGCTTCATCACTGGAGGTTTTAAAAAGGAGAGTGGACAGTCACTTGTCTGAAATGGCGTAGGGCCATGATGGCAACCCTATGGCACGCGTGCCAGAAGTGGCACACAGCACCTTCTCTGTGGGCACGCGAGCCGTCGCCCCAGTTCAGCTCCGCCGTGCATGCGTGCGTGCCTCCCGCAGGCCAGCTGGTGTTTGGGTCTCTGCCATGAGACAAAGAAAAAATGCAGAAAGAAATAAGAAAAAAACATACTGGTTTCTGATTTTTCAAGAGGCAACTGGACTTTCTGGTTTTTCTTTGGAGACGTTTCGCTTCTGATCCATGAAGCTTTTTCAGCTCTGACTGGATGGTGAAAATCCTTCCATTCCCCACCATCCAGTCAGAGCTGAAGAAGCTTCTTGGATGAGAAGTGAAACGTCTTCAAAGAAAAACCAGAAAGTCCAGCTGCCTCTTGGAAAAAAAAGCACCTTTGGGACAACCACGACCTGGGTGGCTGAGAATCTCCATCGACACAGAGAGCATCTGACTTATTTTTTCATCACAGTAGAATTACAGAATCAACCTCTATTTTACATTTCTAAATATTTATTTATTTATTTATTATTTAAATTTCTATACTGCCCTTCTCCCGAAGGACTCAGGGCGGTGAACAGCCAAAATTAAAATACATACAATATAAAATTTAAAATAATTTAAAAGCAGAATTAAATCGAGTTGGCTTCCCTAAACATTAAAACCCATTACCCTTAAAATAACCCATTAAAATTTTAAGCCAGTTGCTTGAATATTTCAAGATGCACGGGCGCGCAGAGCTTCCAAAAGGCAGGAGTGGCTCCTCAGGAGGAGGTCTCCTCGAGAGTAAGGCTTGGAGCTAATTGGCCACTCCCTTAGCCTATTTAAGGAGGAACGCTGACTGAAGCAATTTGCAGGAAACAACGTAGTTCACATACCTTTGTGTCTTGCCTTGCTTATCTTATCAGCTTCCTGCAAATTGCTTCTGGGCATTCTGCCAACCATAGTAAGGTTTCAGTATTATTCTTTGAATTCTTGAATGCAATTAATTAACATCCATTGTTGTAAAAGACTGGTTTATTCAGTAAACTAAGGTTTGAATGGACTTTGTGTGTGCTGCGTTCTTTGGGGTTCGTAGCTGGGGCAGAACAGAAGCCATTTCCACCACAACAAAATCATTCTAATCATCCAAACCAAAAAAAATATATATATCGAAGTTTCATATATTTTTTTCAGTTATCTATGCATCAACAGAAGGCCTCTGAGGAGGACTGGAGGCTTTCTGTAGTCCTTAACCTGGAAAAGATCATTCAGCTTCATGATTATATCCCCTTCCTCCTTTTAGAAAACTGCCGGGGCTTTCTGGGGAAAAGGATCGATCCATCGTTCCCTTTGACAATGTGGTGCTGTGTACTTAGATAAAGATTAATAGAGTTGGAAAGGACCTTGTAGGTCATCTAGTCCAACCCCCCGCCCAAGCAGGAGACTCTACATCATTTCTGACCGGTGGCAGTCCAGTCTCTTCTTGAAATCTTCCAGGGATGAAGCTCCCACAACTTCTGAAGGCAACTTCTGTTGATTGTTCTCACTGTCAGAAAATTCCTTATTTCTAGGTTGAATCTCTCCTTGGTCAGTTTTCATCCATTATTCCTTGTCTGGCTTTCAGGTGCTTTGGAAAATAGCTTGACTCCCTTCCTCCTCTCTGTGGCAGCCCCTCAAATATTGGAAGACTGCTATCCTGTCTCCCCTGGTCCTTCTCTTCATTAGACTAGCCATGCCCAGTTCCTGCAACCATTCATCGTACGTTTTAGCCTCCAGTCCCCTAATCCTCTTTCTTACTCTTCTCTGCACTCTTTCTAGAGTCTCCATATCTTTTTTTAATAGTACTTGTGACAGTTCCTCAAAAATGCGTAACGTGGCTTCTTTTTTTGTTTGTTTTTGTTTTACCTTCCTGTCCAAGAGAAGCTCAAAAGCAGCCATGAGATAACCGTTCTCCTCTTCGTTTTTGTTGATAGGATGCTTCTGGAGACGGGGTATCTTTCTTAAATTGAGATCCAGGCACACAATTGGAATGCAGATGCATCTTCCCATAAAATCATTCGATCGGGCCTATCAGAAGGAAGTGACACAAAGCTGATAAACATATGAACAACATGGCCAAGAGCAAAGAAGACGCATCATGGATCCGTAGTGGGTTTCACTTACCTTTGCTACCGGTTTGGAATTGCTCCCTTCTCGCGCACCCCTGAAAATCCCCCCATACGTACGCTTGAATCATAGTCAAAGATCTCCACGGCCACAATGGGGGGATCCTGCAAGGTCCCATGAGGATCTCCATAAATCAAAACGTCTTCAAAGAGAAGGGTCTCATCCCAGCATGGGTGCAGCGTGCCATTGATAATGTGGGTGCAGTGGCTCATATGAAGAAAAGAGACATGGGCCACAGGATCTGTCAGAGATACAAAAGCTCACTTCACTTTGCTTGCTTATTTAATTTGTATCCTGCCTTTACTATTTTTTTTACAAATAAGTCAAGGTGGAAAACATATCCAACACACCTTCCTCCTTCTATTTTCCCTACAACACCACCTGTGAGGTGAGTTGGGCTGAAAGAGAGGGACTGGCCCAAATTTACCCCTGTGGCTTACTAGGAACTAGAACTCACTATCTCTTCTTGATTGGCTCGAAGTCACCTAGTTAACTTTCTGCCTAATGTGGGACTAGAACTTGCTATCTCCTAGGGTTTGCTCCAAAGTCACCCAACCAGCTTTCATGGGTATCAATCTGGAAAAATGGCTGTCCAATCTCTTCTTAAAACCTCCAGTGGTGGGATTCAGCCGGTTCGCACCACTTCGGCTGAACCAGTTGTTAAATTGCTGAACTATTGCAATAGTTCACAATAGGGTGAGTTAATTTTATCTTGGCTGGGTGTGTAGGAGGCATGCTTACCTGCAGTCCCTTTTACAATGCTTCCCAGGAGGTCCCTGGCTTGGTACATGTAGCAGCGCAACTGGAAATACACTGGGTCTAAAAAGAGGAAGATTTTTTTTATGAGTTCAATATTTCTTCCGGCTTCTTTAGCACAGTTTCCCAAAAGGATACTCTTATCAGTTCTCAGAATGCCCTTTGGGAATCTTAGGATTTTTAGGTTCACACTAATGATATATCCAAGAAGGAAAACAATTAGATTTTGTAATAGCTTTGTACCATACAGTCAGGGGTGAAATGCTCCTGGTTCGGACCGGATCGCCCGATCCCGTAGCGATGGCGGTGGGTGGTTTGGAAAACTGGTAGCAACATTCCCTGCGCCCCCCTCCTCCATGCCCATCTGAGTTGTGCGATCATCAGAGGCTGTTTTTTTTACTTTTAAAAGCATTTTTTCTACAACCTCTTCGGCCGAAAAAATGCTTTTAAAAGTTAAAAAAAAGAAGCTTCTGATGATCGCGCGGCTCAGCTGGGCTCATCAGAGGCTTTTAAAAGCATTTTTTCCTGCAACCTCTTCGGCTGAAGAGGTTGTAGAAAAAAAAAGAAATGCTTTTAAAAGCCTCTGACGATCCCAGCTGAGTTGCCTGATCGTCAGAGGCTTCTAAAAAGCATTTTTTTCCTGCAACCTCTTCAGCCGAGATAGGATAGTGGGGAATGGAAGGATTTATACTCCTTGCAGACAGCTGGTCATTTGCATCCTTTTAGAGGGTCATTGAAGCACTTGGAGGTTTATCTGTGTCCTCAGGGTCACCTGAGCAGAGCTAATGGTTCCTGTAGTCTGCAATTTTCCCCCTCTGGAAATCCCTTCCTACTCCCACACCATTCCAAGGGTCTTCACCCCAAATTATATGGTTAAAAATCTGTAGAGATTCTCAGTCATCCAGGTCATGGTGGAACCAAAGGTGCTTCTCCAGGAGGCAACTGGACTTCCTGGTTTTTTCTTTTGAAGACGTTTCGCTTCCCATCATATAAATCCTTCCTCTCAATATAAATCCTTCCATTCCCCACCATCCGGTCAGAGCTGAAGAAGCTTCTTGGATGAGAAGCGAAACGTCTTTAAAAGAAAAAACAAGAAAATCCAGTTGCCTCCTGAAAAAGCACCTTTGGGGCAACCATGACCTGGAGGACTGAGAATTTTTACAGACCCTTAGGCCCAGTACTCTTCAACATCTTCATCAATGATTTTGTTCTGTCCCCATCTCACACACGCACACAAACAGATAGTCAGGGGTTAAATAAAACTGGCAGACAACAAATTCTTTCGATAAGAGGCTTGGCAGCAACCCAGTAGCTGCTTGCCAAGAACTTTACTCATAGAGGGAGGGGGTGTTCCTCTGACAGATAAACCCAAACAAGATACACACAGTTCAAGAATTGTCAAGTCCAGTCCGTATTAAATCCAAAGCAGATAACGTTGTTTCAAAGATATAATGTTACTCGCTAGTAGTTTGTTTTGTCCGTCACAGAGTCTGAATGGCCACCTCACCCCCTTTTATCCCCTGTGGGGTGTGGTCCAGTGACTCAGCTTAATCTCTGGCACGCTTCCTCTTCTGCTGCGTACGCCTGTCTCTCCGACGCTGGCGTGGATCCAGCCAAGACTTATCTCCGTCACTCTCTGACTGCGGGGAGATACCGGGCTCCTGGCCAATCTCTTCTCCTACGGGAGACACCTGAGGCATTGCCAGAGAGGAGGGTCCTGGAGAGGGAGGCCTGGCCAACTTCTCTCCTTCATGTTCGGAGCCTTCTCCCTCCGGTAACGGAGCCACAACAGATTTAAATGAAGCAACAGAAGAGGAACTCATGACACTGATGACACTATTAAATTGGATGATTTTCGAAAGGATCAATTGGACACCCTTCATGGCTGTCCTTGTATAAGCCAAGCTTCCCTAATGCTACTGGTTGGCTTTTCTAATGTGCGATGGCCAACCCCATCTTGAAGGACCTCAACTGGAGAAAGAAAGTTCTGGGAACTCACTCTTGAAGACGCAGAAGAGAAGAGGAGTATTCATCTTCAAGAGACCTTGGGAAGCTGGTAGTTCCAGTTCAATCTCCTCCTTCTCATCTTTCCTTCCTGCTTCAGGTTTTTTCTTTTTCTGTCTGCCACCAACCTCCACACCCTGAAATAAAAAGAGATGTCAGAGTGTTTACAGCATGTCAGGGTGCTAATTAATCCCATTCTGCTTTTAGGTAATTGCACCTTGATTTAGAGAATGCGGAACGAGGTTTTTCCCTTGAAGCATACTTTAAGAAAATAAACCCGAAGATATATTTTCTAAGAAAAACTCATTTATTTGTTATAAAGAAAATAAAACTTCTTACTAATCTAATTAGTTACATCTTGGCAAAGCTTTCCTGGCCGGACCTCTCCCGGCCGGACCTCTTTTGGCTGGAGAACAAAGAAAGTTAGAAGAAAGTGAAAGAATGTGGACATGCGCAGTTAGCTTACTGATAAGAAACTTGGCAAGCTACAGTAAGTCTGAAAGTCCAGAAATAATAGCTCATCTGGTAAATACAAAAAACGCAGTGACACAGGGTGACTACTATTTTGAGATCACCCAGGAGCAAAATATAGGACACAGAAGTTTTGTCTTACAAACAGTGGTTTATATACAAGACTGCTCTATACAGACATACAAGTGGTAGGCAGACAAGCAATCATTCTTCTTCAACTCTACACGGAGAACTACAAGGCAGATACCCGAGGAGAGAGAGTGACGCCTTCTAATGGCCTCCCTTATATCGGCAGCTTCTTAAAGGGCAATAATCCTGCTGACTCATCCTCAGTCTTAAATGTTTTTACATGCTTTTGAACTGCTAGGTTGGCAGAAGCTGGGACAAGTCACGGGAGCTCACCCCATTACGCAGCATTAGGGATTCGAACCATTGAACTGACAACCTTTCAATCGACAAGCTCAGGGTCTTAGCCACTGAGCCACCGGGTCCCTGACAAAAGGAGAAGCCAAATTCAATCTACCAGACCTCCGGACTTTTTGTCGGGCCCTGAAAATTTATTTATTTCATCTAGCTGGGCTGGCTTGATCCCACTGTTTTGGTTAAATTGAATTGATTTTAATTGGGTTGTTTTAAATTGTGGCCAAAAATATTTAATTATTTTTAAACTGTTTTTAAATTTTGTATGTTCTGTTTTATTCTGGCTGTTCACCATCCTGAGTCCTGCTGGAGAAGGGCGGTATACAAATTAAAACAAATAAAATAAATAAATAAATAAAATCTTTGGTTTCTCAAAGTTGCATTATAATAGATAGATAGATAGATAGATAGATAGATAGATAGATAGATAGATAGATAGATAGATAGATGGATAGATAAAGTTTATTGTCTGTCTATCTATCTATCTATCTATCTATCTATCTATCTATCTATCTATCTATCTTATGATCCATCATCTGTCTGTCTGTCTATCTATCTATCTATCTATCTATCTATCTATCTATCTATCTATCTATCTATCTATCTATCTATCTATTTATTATAATGCAACTTTGAGAAAGCAAAAGATTGAATTGGGCTTCTCCTTTTGGCAGGGACCCGGTGGCTCAGTGACTAAGATGCTGAGCTTGTCGATCGAAAGGTCGGCAGTTCAACGGTTCGAATCCCTAGTGCCGCCTAATGGGGTGAGCTCCCGTGACTTGTCCTAGCTTCTGCCAACCTAGCAGTTCGAAAGCACGTAAAAAAAATGCAAGTAGAAAAATAGGGACCACGTTTGGTGGGAAGGGAACAGCGTTCTGTGCGCCTTTGGCGTTGAGTCATGCCGGCCACATGACCACGGAGACGTCTTTGGACAGCGCTGGCTTTTTGGCTTTGAAATGGAGATGAGCACCGCCCCCTAGAGTCGGGAACGTTTAGCACATATGTGCGAGGGGAACCTTTACCTTTGCCTTTTGTCAAGGACATCCCCAGGATGTGAAGATGGAGGTTGTAACCATGTAATTGAAGTCCGTCCCCTTTTCATCACTGCCGTTTTTTTGACCCACCCTCTGGAGAACCCTGGTTCTGCCTTCTCTTACCAAGGAGCCTTCCAGGTAGAAAATGGGTGCCACCAGGCTGGGTGCCACCGGGGCAAGTTTCCTGCGCCAACAACGTCGCCGAAAAACGTCATCTGGTTCCCTCTGGAGGTGGAACCTCCAGCCGTAGAGAGGAGCATATTCCCAGACATCCTCTTTCGGTTTAATGTCTGAGTGCTGCAGGAAGGGAGATGGCGAAGTCTTATTTTAGCCAGAATTTAGCCTTTCTCGAACGGATAACACAGAGAGGTTATGACAGTAGCGTGGAAAAGGATCAGAGCTGCAATTTATTTATTTATTTATGGGCACCCCACTTTTATCATCATTTATTTTAGAAATAAGGTGGGGAACAAACCTCGTACTCTTTCCTCCTCCTCCTCTTTTCCCCACAACAACAATCCTGTGAGGTGGGCTGAGTTGAGAGAGAGAGGGACTGGCCTAAATGCCACCTAGCAGGTTTTTATGTCTAAAGTGGGATTAGAACTAACCATCTTCTGCTTTCTAAACCAGCACTTTCACCACTACACCAAACTGGATCTAACATGTGCAAGTGTCCTAAGACTCTGAGTTCTATTTGCGCCTTAGCCTTGGTGACTTTGGGCCAATCACCAGGAGACTCTGAGTTCTAATCCCGCCTTAGCCATGGTGACTTTGGGTCAATCACCAGGAGACTCTGAGTTCTAATCCCGCCTTAGCCCTGGTGACTTTGGGCCAATCACCAGGAGACTCTGAGTTCTAATCTCGCCTTAGCCTTGGTAACTTTGGGCCAATCACCAGGAGACTCTGAGTTCTAATCCCGCCTTAGCTTTCAAAACCAGCTGGGTGACTTTGGGCCAATCAGCAGGAGACTCTGAGTTCTAATCCCACTTTAGCCTTCAAAGCCAGCTGGGTGACTTTGGACCAGTCGCTCTCTCTCAGTCCAGCCTATGTTGTTGTGAGAAAGAAAAGAAGTTTTGTTGGATATGTTCTCAGCCTTGATATTTGCAAATATAATAAAGGCGGGGCATTAATAAAATAAAATTTAATAAATTATGATGGTGATGTAATGGAATATCTCCTTGATAGATGAGCTTCATACTGAGACTAACATCTCATCCAGTGCTTCCAGTGTAATCTCCTTGCTTGCACCTTGGGTCAGCCTGCCCTCAATTCTAGCCACCCTCTGGTGGTGAAATCCAATTTTTTTTCACTACTGGTTCTGTGGGCGTGGCTTAGTGGGTGTGGCTTGGTGTGACAGGGAAAGGATACTGCAAAATCCCCATTCCCAACCAATTCTGGGGCCAGCCAGAAGTGGCATTTGCCAGTTCTCTGAATTACTGAAAATTTCCGCTACCGGTTCTCCGAACTACTCAAAATTTCCACTACCAGTTCTCCAGAACCTGTCAGAACCTGCTGGATTTCACCCCTGCCACCCTCCATGGTAAAATGCCCTCCCTTCCAAAGTTCTCCCTTCCTTCATCGCTGACTTTCTGGCTGAAACCCACTCCCCGAGTAAGATTCAGTACCAGCTGGAGAAAAGCGGCCATCTGATTTTGTCGGGTCTCTCTGCCGAGGTTCCGAAAACGCTTCCGGAGCCAACGTCGGCGCCGGTGTGTGTGGTAGGTCTTTTCGGCTGCGTTCCAGGAGTGAGGAAAATCAGCAGGTGGGATGGCGATGCCATACTCCCACCCTAAGGAAGGAAAGAGGTGCCATGAGGCCCGTGGGCAGACGAGGAAGCACAGCAATGCAACGCTTCCCTTCAATCTCTGCCCCTTAGAGACCCACTTATGACTGTCAGGCGTGAAAAGCCAGGACCACACCTGAAGTTTCAATTCAATTGATTTATGACTCACGCCTATGCACAAAAGTAACATGACGGCCACACTAGGGGCTAATGCATATTAATCCATATTGTGTGGTTGCAATATTATTATTTATCCTTCTGGAGGAGGCTTCGCAGTATCTGAAGCAGAACAATTAGATTCTGTGATAGTTCTGTACCATATAGCATCAACCTTGTTCACTCTTAACTCTCTTTTCTGCTATATATTCAAAATGCACTGTGATTTAGATAGATAGTTAGATAGTTAGGTAGTTAGATAGGTAGGTAGGTAGATAGATAGATAGAGATAGAGATAGAGATAGATAGATGATATATGACAGATAGATAGATAGATAGATAGATAGATAGATAGATAGATAGATAGATGAGATAGATATAGATAGATAAATAGATGAGATAGATGATAGGTAGGTAGGTAGGTAAATTAGATAGATAGATAGATAGATAGATAGATAGATAGATAGATAGATAGATGAGATAGATGATAGATGATAGATAGATAGATAGATAGATAGATATAGATAGATGAGATAGATGAGATAGATGATAGATGATAGATAGATATAGATAGATAAATAGATAGATGAGATAGATGAGATAGTTAGATGATAGATGATAGATAGATAGATAAATAGATAGATGAGATAGATGAGGTAGATAGGTGATAGATGATAGATAGATAGATATAGATAGATAAATAGTTAGATATAGATAGATAAATAGATAGATGTGATAGATGAGATAGATAGATGATAGATAGATAAATAGATATAGATAGGTAGATAAATAGATAGATGAGATAGATGAGATAGATGATAGATGATAGGTAGGTAGGTAGGTAGGTAGATATGGATGTTACCCAGAGGAAACTATAAGACAATATTCATGCATTGGGTAAAGTTTCTGTATATTACTAGATTTTAAAAAAACAAACAACCCTGCTAATTTTCCATCCAGAACTTCGATGGATGATCCACAGTCATTTATCTACCTAATGTTTGCCCTTCCCCTCAGCACTTTTCTTCCGGCTTAAAATTCCTTCAATTAAATATCTGTGCAGCATTTCCCCCAAAAAATATCTGGCTAGTTGCAGCCAAACACTTGCCAGCATCGTCCACCGCCCGGTTCAACTCCACTTTCCATTCTTCTACAAAGATCCATCCAGGAGGACACAGGATATCTTCTTTCTTGGGAGAAGGAGTACCACTCTAAGAACGACAAGGGACAACACGGAGTAAAAAATGGGAGGAAGGAAGATCTAAGCATATATTAGAACTGCAGAAAAAACCATGGCTACCAACCTGCCTTCCATGGAGGACCTGTATACTGCACGAATCAAAAAGAGGGCTGGGAAAATATTAACAGACCCCTCGCATCCTGGACATAAACTATCTCAACTCCTACCCTCAAAACGATGCTATAGAGCACTGCACACCAGAACAACTAGACACAAGGACAGTTTTTCCCCGAACGCCATCACTCTGCTAAACAAATAATTCCCTCAACACTGTCAAACTATTCATTAAGTCTGCACTACTATTAATCTTCTCATTGTTCCCACCACCCATCTCCTTCCACTTATGACTACATGACTGTATGATATAGAATAGAATAGAATAGGAATAGAGTAGAATAGAATAGAGTAAAGTAGAGTAGAGTAGAGTAGAGTAGAGTAAAGTAGAGTAGAATAGAATAGAATAGAATAGAATAGAATAGAATAGGAATAGAGTAGAATAGAGTAAAGTAGAGTAGAGTAGAGTAAAGTAGAGTAGAGTAGAGTAGAGTAGAATAGAATAGAATAGAATAGAATAGAATAGAATAGAATAGAATAGAAGTAGAGTAGAATAGAGTAGAATAGAATAGAATAGAATAGAATAGGATAGGATAGGATAGGATAGGATAGGATAGGATAGGATAGGATAGAATAGGAATAAAAGCTGGAAGGGACCTTGGAGGTCTTCTAGTCCAGCCCCCTGCTCAAACAGGAGAACCTATACTATTTCAGATAGTGGCTTAGTCTTTCTTAAAATCCTCCAGTAATGGAGCACCCACAATTTCTGGTGGCAAGCTGTTCCACTGATTAATTGTCCTCAATGTTAGGAAGTTTCTCCTCAATTCCAGGTTGCTTCTCTCTTTGATCAGTTTCCATCGATTGTTTCTTGTCCTGCTTCTCTGGTGTTTTGGAGAAAATCTCCTCCATATTGCTGCTAAGAAATGCGCGTGTGTCCTTGAAGTCATAGGAACTAGCTGGACTAGAAGGAGGTTTCATTTTTTAAGACTGTCAAAGCCTTTTGCTTTGAAGATTTCGTACAAAGTTCACCTTGAAAAAGAGACACCCTCGAAACAGATGCTGGGAGTTTTTGTACGCTCCATTTTGGGTTTCGTTTCCAGTCCCCTTCTCCCCCCAAAATGGAAAATCACTTTCAGCCATCAAAGAGAAGAGATGTCCCCACCAGCAAATCCTGACTCACCTTCTTTATTTCTCTTTTATACATCCCAACCAGTGGTGGGTTCCTCCCGGTTCGGCCCGATTCGGCTGAACTGGTAGCGGTGACGATATGACATCACCAAACCGGTTCTTTTTGTCCAGGAGCTGGGCTCTCCTGCCCGCCCCCGCGTTATTTCTACCTTTTATTTCTTTTTTTTTTTTAGCCCAGCTGATAGGTGCGGTAGAGTGGATTACCGCACCTCAGCTGGGCAGATTCCTAACGCGTTTGTGCGGAGCGCATGCATGAAGATAACCGGTAGTAAAGCCGGTTAGAACCCACCACTGATCCCAACCTGAGCCACTCACCGCATTACTGTAAGGGATCTTAGCTGGTTTCCATCGACGGCTAGGCTGTCGACTCTGATTCTCGTAAACTTCCTGCAACACTTCGGAATAGTTGGTCTCTTTGTCCAGCAAGAGCCTAGTCAGAAAACAGAAAGTTTGGGTTGCCATCAGTGGAAGAGTTTTTCTCCTGGAGTTTTGGGTGCTCCATCACCGAAGATCTTCAAGAAAAGACTGGATAGCCATTTGTCTGGGATGGAATAAGGTCTCTCTCTTTCTCTCTCATTCTCTCTCTCCCTCTCCCTCCCTCCCTCCCTCTCTCTCTCTCTCTCTCTCTCTCTCTCTCTCACACACACACACACACACGTAAGTGTGCTTTAGAGAGTTTATTAATGTACCCCAGCAATTCCCTTCACCCAGCCTCAGAACTGTCCCGAATAAATCCAGCCACAAGTAAGCCAAGATTAGTCCACGAGGCAACAGCCAATAGTTCATAAAACAATAAAAAGTCGCTCCAACAAATAAGTCCACCAAACGAACTTAAATTCCACCGGGACAAACTGAAATACACCCACAAGAACTCACTCGGCAAGAGAAGTTCAGAGTCACCAAGGCACACAGTCAAGCAGGAAGCCCAAGGAACAAACACACACAGCCAAAAACCCAACACGCTGTTCCCAGCAACGCCTCCTTCCACCTGCTGTGATAAATAGCTTTCCGGTGAAGCCCATCAAGATGGGTGGGGCCTCCTCCTGAGTAATCTGGCAGATCTCCATTGCTCTTGTCTTTTCTCTGCCCTGTGTGCTCTTGGATCCACCATGGAAGGCACCATGGAAGGCAGAGAGAGAGAGAGAGAGGATGTTAAAGAAAAAACTAGATAATTACAAGTCCATCAGCTCACCTCCTTTGGGGTTCCACAGCCCACTCGCCGTCCCATTGCCAACCTGTTGGTAGCTGGAACTTGTCTTTGGGGAGGCTGACCTGTCCAGCCACATCTGAAAAGTTGGGGTGTGGCATAAGATCCATGACTCCCCATATTCCGTGTGTCTTCTTTTGGTTTTCATACTGAAAACACCAGAACACAAACCCTCATCCACGGGCCAACACTGGGGTGCTCTCAGCCTTTCTAGCTTATTCTTTCACACCTTTGGGTCCTTAAATGTTGCTCAAGAGCAGGAGCCCTGGAGGCATGCCTTCCCCATGACTGCCCTGTCGTTTTGGAACAGCCCTCCCCCCACCAAGATCTGGAGGGCCCTCATCCTCTTACCCAGGATGCAAATGAGCCCAACAGTTATAACGTTGGTGAGATATTATGGGGCCGTGATGTCTCATTTGGGGTTATGTGGGCATGTATAGATAGTCCTTGACTTATGACCATAATTGGACAGGAACTTCCAATTCACGATGATGCTAAGAGCCACCTGGATTTCCCCCCCACCCCCACCCCGAAATGTTCTGGATCATCTCACCGTTTCCGCATAGACTGCGACCCTCCCTTCGCAACATCTCATGAAGTCTGCGCAGTCGGCCATCCGTCCCATCCACATTCGAACCCGGAGCACGGCGGGGATGGGGTTGTAATTCGTTTTGCTTTGCATATCCTGGGAGGTGGGTGGATGAGAACGAAAGTGTCAGTCCCTTCAACATTCCTTTCGTTAATTATTAGGATTGCAAATAGCAATAGCACTTAGACTTATATAGCGCTTCACAGTGCTTTTACAGCCCTCTCTAAGTGGTTTACAGAGTCAGCCTCTTGCCCCCAACAATCTGGGTCCTCATTTTACCCAGCTCAGAAGGATGGAAGGCTGAATTAACCTTGAGCCGGTCAGGATTGAACTGCTGGCAGTGAACATTGTGTTAACCTGCAATACTGCATTCTAACCACTGAGAGGGAGGGAGGGAAGAAAGGAAGGAAGGAAAATAGCACTAGTACTTATACTTATATACCACTTCACAGTGCTTTACAGCTCTCTCTAAGCGGTTTACAGAGTCAACCTACTGCCCCCAACAATCTGGGCCCTCATTTTAACAATCTCAGATGGAAGGATGGAAGACTGAGTCAGTCTTGAACCTGGTGAGTCACTGATGCGGCTCTCAATGAAACTGAGTTTGACACCCCTGATCTAGCAGATCCTGTACTGAGCAGGTGCTGGGACTAGAAGACCTCTAAGAACCTTTCCGTCTCTATGGTTCTACATATCTAAGAAATATTGAAGGGCTTGTACAATGCTTGTTGAAAACCAGAAACCCTGAAGGCATCAATTCAGAGGTGGGTTTCAGCAGGTTCTGACCAGTTGTGGAGAACTGGTAGCGGAAATTTTGAGTAGTTCGGAGAACCGGTAAATACCACCTCTGACTGGCCCCGCCCCCATCTATTCTCTGCCTCCCGAGTCCCAGCTGATTGGGAGGAAATGGGGATTTTGCAGTAACTTTCTCCTGGAGTGGGGAGGGAATGGAGATTTTACAGTATCCTTTCCCTGCCATGCCCACCAAGCCACACCCACCAAGCCATGCCACACCTACCAAGCCATGCCCACCAAGCCATGCCACACCCACCAAGCTATGCCACACACACCAAGACATGCCACACCCACCAAGCCACGCCCACAGAACCAGTAGTAAAAAAAATTGAATCCCACCACTGCGTCAATTCCTGGATTTCTTGGATCCAAAACGACCAGAACCAAATATCTCTTGTTACCTTTAGGAAAAGGGTATGGGTTTTGCCACAAAGATTGCCTCTGGCGTAGGGGCCATCTTTGGAGAACATGATGGACTGGGACTTCACCCGGGCATAGGCCACGCGTCGGTCATCCCACAGCATCCAGATTACCACATCTGGGATACTTATTTGAGTCTGAAAAAGAGCAGAAGGAAAGAGA